TATGTAATGAACAAAGTATTTAATAAGAATATTTCATTCATTCAGATCTAGGATGTCATATTTTTGTGTTCCCTTTATTTTTTTGAGCAGTGTATTTTTCTTACAGCCAACTAGTGAAGAAGGTCAGGTTGAAAAAGTGATTGGTCCAGAGTTATCCTGTGAGTTACTGCCACTGAGGAGAGATTTGAACCAGAGTCTCCACAGTATCCCTCGAACACTTGAACTACTATATTCTTTTGGATAGTTAGTTTATGATAGATTAGTATATCTATATCCTTAGTTGCAGAAAGTGGCATGTATGATAGTGGTTAGGGTGCTGGATTTGCAGTCGGGAGGCCATAGAAATTTCGGAATGTTATATCTTTTTCAGTGAAACCTTGTAACCTGCATCACTTTTCAATATATATAAAATAAGGAAAGCTGCTTATTATTTGAATAATTGTCTCCTATTAATTTTGAATTAATTTGATTTTTTTTTGCAGAGTATCACAGTGTGTCTCAGTAATGGGCCATAAGGTAACCCATTTTAGCGGGGATTCCTCTAACAAAGTACTTACTTTGTGCTGAATGAATTTGGATGTGTTTGAATATTTATGGGTTCATTGTTTATAATGTAAAATTCATCATTCACAATCTAAATGTAAGAACAAATAGTAATATAACATTGAAGAATTCTATTTCACAGTTTATTTCATGTTCTCTAATTTTAGCATAAAGTTTTTGATTCAAGCACAACTCCTGTTATCCTCTCAAAATTATGTAGTTTTCTTGGCAAAATGGTTTTTCATCGTCTTCTCTTTGGATTTTTTTTTTAATATTAGTCTAATTTACAAATGGTATTTCCTGGTGGTCTAACACCTAGATTCTAATATTAGTTAGCTTTTGAGCATATATCTAGCTGAGCATTTTTTCCATAAGGCATGCTTAAATGCTAGAGAGTTTAGCACGTCCTAATCCAAGTGATTGATGTTCTGATCTAGCACATTTATAGAATGAAGAGTTTATGATTTTTTTTCTGCTGTTTTTTTGAAGAGATGACTTTTTCTTTTAAAGGTCAGATTCAGAGTAGGAAGGTAATTTGGGGGGGTTGTCTACCTTTGCATTTCTAGACTATATCTCTTGCTAGGAGGATTTTTATTAGCTTTTGTTTATATGCCTCTTACACCCTCTTCTGGGCAATTTTGATTTTGTCTCTCCCACATATATCTCTGTAATTTTATTTTAAGACGCATGAGTGTGAGTGTGTGAGTGTGTATGCCACATTTGATCCAAAACCAATTATCGTTAATTGGTATCAACATTAAAACCTCAAACTTCTTCACTAACAACCAACTGAAATTTGTACAGACCTGTCTAGTCTGAAATCTTGTTCCCACAGTGATTATCCCAATGTCACTGTGAAATTCATGTGTAACAGGGTTAATAGTGTCTTTATATTTCCTAGATGAGAGTGACATGATAAATAGGCTGCTTGTGTTTATAGAGATACTTGTAACAACTGGTCATTTATAAATGATGCATTATGACGCAGTGGTGAATTCTACAGTTCACAATTATCTTTGTGAACCATTTTATTTAAGGGGGGTGGGTGTCCTTGATATTCTCTGAGCTTGGTTGCTTTTTTTACAAACATTTCATTACCCAAACTAGGGAATATCTTCAGTGCTAATAAGGAATGGGATTTGCTTTCATTTTATATTTTAATGGCTTGCCCTGTCAGTGTTGGTGAGAGTGGTCCAAGTGGTTCTTTGGTTGGGCTGTTTACTGTTTGCTTGTTTGGCAGTTCCTTGATTAGGTTATTGTTTACTTAGTTTTTGGTGTGATGTTAATCTCTGCTCATCTGGGTCCTGAATGCTGGAAAGGAGATGTTTTGGAACTGCAAAACAAGCTAACACTGAACAGCCCAACCAAAGAACCATCAAGACCACCCAAACCAACATAAAAAGGGCAAGCCATTAGAATATAAAATGGGAGCAAACCCCACTCCTCACGAGCACATATGATATTTGGGTAATGTCTGCAGGAAAACAAGCAAGCTCAGAGAGCACTAAGGATCCCTTATATCAACCCTGACCTACAACCTACAAATATTCTCCTCTATTGACAATTTCTGTCATTTGTGAATCTGGTAATTAAACACTTGATGCTAATTGATATAGAAAATTAGTAAATTCTGAGCAAAATCCATTTCTTTTACATCTGGTAAATTGTTTTACATCAGGGGTGTCAAACTCGATTTCATTGAGGGCCGCATCAGGGTTGTGTTTGACCTTGGGGGTGGGCGTGGCTGGGGTGTCAGGGGCACTCATGTCAGGGGCACCTGTGGTATCCCAGGTAGAGCTGGGGGAAACCATTGTCTCCAGCAGAGGAAGGCGGGACCAGGGAGTTTGCCAAACCCTTGTCCTCCAGAGCAGGGGTCGCCAACCTTTTGGACCTCAGGGACCACAAAACTCATAATTTTAAATCCTGGGGACCACTAATATGAATTCTGAATAATGGTGGCTTGCTGACCGGGGGTGGGGGAGAAATCTGATCTAACCCCCCCTCTTCCCCCCTCCTCCCTCTCTCTCTCACACACACACAGAGGCAGGGGTGAGATTCAAATTTCTTAACTGGTTCTGTGGGTGTGGCCTAATTTGTGGGTGTGGCTTGGTCATGTGACTGGCTGGGCATGGCTTATATGTAAATATTATAAATATTTATGTAAATATTGAATTTTTTATAAAAAAGCAAAGCAGGCAGGCAGATTGAGTTGCTCACAGAATCACAGATTCATTCCGAGATCTGTTTCTGCCATTGGCTACCTGAGTCTGTCACATAAAATTTGCAAGCAAGCAAACTCACAAAATTAACTCACAACACATCATATATGTAAATATTGATTTTTTTATTAAAAAAAGCAACTTTTACCCAAAATCAGGCAGATTGAGTTGTTCATAGAATCGCAGATTCACTTAGAGATCTATGATTCTGCCATCGGCTACCTGCATTGAATAATAGAAGCTTCAGTCCTAAGAAAGGTTCAGCTCTGCTAAAAAGCAGAGCTGAAGATCTAAAGATTGGCTAGAAAGCAAGAAATCCAACTATTTTCTGCTTTCTAGCTAATCTAAATCTCCCGGCACAACAGAACAGCTGATGGTTGGGGAAAACAAAAGAAAAATAGCAACTTCGCAGGCAAGTTTGCCAGGTAAGGAGTGAGTGGGCGGGGAGGGTTCCTGCGGGCCATGTGGGTGGCGCAGCCTTGTGTTCCTGTGCAGCCTGGATTAATTGCTTCGGGGGGTACTCTGAGGGTGACATTTTTCTGCAGACCACCAAAATTTTCTCACAGACCACCAATGGGCCATGGCCCACCAGTTGGTGACCACTGCTCCAGGGGACCCTCACCATCCCTCTCAGGCCATGCAGGATGGCAACTCAGGCTGTCCAGAGCCCTAGGCAGCAGAGGGCAAATGCCCAGCCCAGTCTTTGAGCTCCTAGGGCACTGGGACCCCACAGCCTACCCAGCCCTGCTTCCCCAAGGGGATGCTCAACTGTGCTTACCTCCTTGAGGCTTCTGCTGCTGTTTTCACTCTCCTTGGCCAGGTTGCTCATGGTGTGTGTGGGAGGGCAAAGTGTGTGGGTCACAGGGAAGCACACTCTATCTCCATGCAAGGAGACCCAGCTTTGTAACCAAAGCATCCTCAGTGATAGGATGGGAGACTACCAGAAGAGATCAGGAGAAGGAGACAAGGGGATGATGAAAGGGCAGCAGGACTGCTGGTGGCCAAGTGCTAAGGCAGGACTTCCCTCAGACCTTCCTGGATAGAAATAAGAGCTGATGTTTATGTATAAAAGGAGAGGTATGTATTAATAATGACATAAACGCTATTAATATGAATTGAGATTGGTATTTTTGTTTTAAAAAAATAAAACTATATAAACCCTCCCTCTCATAACCAACCTTCCTTCCTTCCTTCCTTCCTTCCTTCCTTCCTTCCTTCCTTCCTTCCTTCCTTCCTTCCTTCCTTCCCCTCTTTCCTTATTTTTCCTTCCTTCCCCTCTTTCCTTATTTTTCCTTCCTTGCTCTCTTATCATTTTTCCTTTTGTCTTTGTCTTTCCTCTTTCCCTTTCTCCTTTCCTGTCCGCTCTTGGATGCTCAAATGCAAAAGGGAAAACATTACTCAACGCCTCCTTACCTTGTGATCAAATGCCATTTTTGCTAGTAGTTTGTTTTGCTAGTGCTTTGCCAGCAAAAATGGGACTTGGGGGGGCGGGGCTGCGTTTTCAGCTGCAATGGCCTCCTGCAGCCCTCTGCCAGTGAAAATGGAGCTCAGGAGGCTGCATTTTCAGTTGCCACAGCCTCTTACAGCTCTCTGCCAGCAACAGGGCTCAGGAGGGCACACGGACCTCCCGAGGTTCATTTTCACTGGCAGAGGCACCACGAGCCAGTCTTTTGCTGTTTCCAAGGTGGCCCCTTGGAACCCTGTGGGCCAGATTTGGCCCACAGGCCTTGAGTTTGACACCCCTATTTTACATGAAATACAAAGTGTGTCAGATGACTAATTTTCATGAATAATGAATAAATTCTAATCATCAACATGGGCTATAATAAATACTGTTAGAAAATGTAGTCCAGTTGAATCTGGTTGTTGATCTCTCTTCTAAGCTATGAGCGATGAATATCAACTTGAATCTTGGAAAATAGTTTGCAATTTTCTTTTCCAGTAAAGACTATTTAATATCAGTCTAGAAATAACTGAAACATGATGGTCTTTTGTTTATTTCTAAAAAAATCTTAATAAAGAATAATTTTTTTCATAATTTTTAAGTTGCTTTAAAAATAAAAATAAAACTCATAAATTGAACAGAGTTACAGTACTAATGGAAGTAGGTAATATGTAGAATTTTAAAATACTATAAAGAGAAATAAATTAATTGAAAATTCTAAGAGAAAACATCTCACTATGTATTATTAGTTTGCTTTGTCTTTATGCTTTTAAAAATATCTCCTTGATTTTTAGATCTTTTCATCACTGAAATGTGTGACATTGCGATACTTTGCAAGAGCTTGGCATCCATCTTCTTGCATTTTTTTCTGTAAGGGTAAGCTGAAATTTCTGAATATTTGTGGAATGGGGAGATTATTTTATAAATTTATATCTGAGAAGAAACAAGATCATGTTTTTTTTAAAATGGGCTTGAGTTCTCCAACCTTTGTGGCTTTGCGGACTGGCGGGGTGGGAAGAGGGGATAGTTCCCCATGAGTGGTGGGCAAGTGTGCACATGCAGCTCTATTTGCATGAACAGCAGGCACATGTATCCGCTGCTGCACAAATGGAGCACACCTGCACAAGCTCGCTTGCTGTTCACACAAGTGGGGACCTGCACGTGCTCACCTGCTACTTCTGTGGCCCGTTCTGAAAGGCTCAAGGCCCAGTAGTGCGCCGTGGCCTGGGGGGGTGGGGGGCTTTGGGAATATTTGCTTTAGAGATGGCACTGCATGTTGATCAGAGGAACTTCTGTATTATTGTTGGATATTAGACTCCCTCTGCCCCAAATCTTTGGATATAACTTTTGTCACTTGTTGTTTGCAAAAGTCCACCCAGTCTCGCTAGCAGATTTTCACATACATTCAAAGCAGGATTTAACATTGGTTCAAATGAACAGAATTGTGATTGTGTGAACTATTGACTTGAACACTCTTTCTCTACTGGTAGTCCTCAAGTTATGACAGTTTTTTAATGATGTTAGAAGTTATAACAGCACTGAAAAAAGTGACTTATGGTCATGTGATCAAAATTCAGACCCCTAGTAACTAACTCATGATGGTTGCGGTGTCCCAGGATCAGGTTATTGAGTTTTGAAACCTTCTAATAAGCAAAGTCAACAAGGAAGCTAAATTCACTAATAACTAATCCTAACTAATAACTAATGCAGAGATTCACTTTACAACTATGACAAAAAAGGGGTTTAAAATTAAGCAAAATTCACTTAACTATCTTACAAGCAACAGAAAATTTGGGATCAATTGTGCTTGTTAGTCAAAGACTTCATTCTGCATGGTCTTAGATTGCTTTCTGATAACTAAGGAATCTAATAAAACAAAGAAATGAGAGAAAATGAGAAAGAGGCATGTTGCAGATTTTGTCCAAGCCCATTTTTCCCTGTGCATATAATGTTAAATGATCCACATTGGGTGAAAGACATGTTGGAAATCTTTGATAAAACTGCAAAGGGAAAAATGCTTAGAAAGACTGATCTAATATGACTAAGTATCTAAAACATATACTAAATTATTGTAAATGAACCAAAGGAAATTGAGATTCATGTATTTCTTCTCTCCTACAATCAGGAGAACTGCTGTAACTATAGATTCCTGTTTTATATGGACTTGAAGAACTGTTAATTCTCCCAGCATGCCTTTGGGATAATGCACACATATGGGTTGAATCTGCCTTTCTGCCCAGAGACTGAATCATCAATCTTTTCCACACCTCTTCCTGTTGGGGCAGGAAGCTTCCTAGCCCCAGTCACGACTCAGTCTTGGCCCTGTAGAGACGTGGCAAAGGTTGGCTCCAACAATTATAGCAGAAAGCAGCAGTTTAAAGTGTGGATTCTCCCAAAAGTTTGCAAAAAGCTCCTAAAGCATCCAAACATGCCTGCTCTGTTTTTTCGCAGCCCCCTGAACTACCAATTGAAGGCCTAACAGCCCAGGCAGTCAAGGGGGAGCCCCCAATGACTCCCCCAACCCATGGGGGCCCACTGAAGCCGCGATTGCCCCCAGTGTGTCGTTTTGATCCCAGGCTTAACTGGGTAGCTCTGGAGAAGCTGCTTTCGCTTTTACAACCTCCAGCTGATTTTCAGGGCGGCCTGTGGCATGGCGAGTTGTTTAGGCTATCCAGGAGACTGGTAGGGCCGCCACTGTCACAGCCCAGGGAAGGCTTCCAGGCCTTAATTCCCTTTGGAGCAGCAGGATTGGAGGATCGAGAGAGCTCTCCTCCCAGAAATCTGGGCAATTGCAGCATGGAGCCCCTGAGTGCTAAATGATCCAAGCAAAGTCCCAGGAAGGCCAGATCTGCAAGTAAAGAGGTGCTAACAAGATAAAGGCAAAGACTCTTTTTCCAGAAAGCCCACAACAGCAGAGGAAAGAAGGCAAAAAGCAGTGGAAAAGCAATTCTCCAGAGCTCAGAAGCAAGCTGACCAGGAGAGGTCTTTCTTCTTCCCCCAGCCAAGGCCTGTTAGTCCTTCCCCTCAGCAGCCATTAGCACAGAAGCAGGAATTTATCCCTCTTGCTGAGGAAATCCAAACTCAAGAGATTTCCTCTTGTTTGCATGCTTCCTTGTCCTGCAGAATTGCAGACCAGAGACAGGACTGGATCACCTGAGGCCACCTTTACTCCAACTGCAGTGGGAATGTGCTCAGCAGAAAGAGTGGCTCCAGAATTACCAGAGGTTCTTAAGGGCCTCATTGCTCAGGCCATTTCTAATGGGGTAGCCTCCTCCGCGAGGGGAAGGAACCATTCTTCTTCCCCCACATCTGATCCTCAGCCATTGCAGTCAGTGCAATATCAGGCCCCATGGAATTTCTAGGCACCAGAAAGAGGCCTCTCCAGCCCTCTCCATCAGAAGCAGGGCATCTGGGATGGAGGAGGAGGTTAAGGGAGAATGGGTTCTCAGAAGATGACCTATTATCTGATCCACCCCCCCTTCAAAGGTCTGTTTAGCCTGGGGCTGTTTAAATCCCTCCTCCACAAGGCTAGGACCACTGCCCAAATTGATTCTTTGCCCATTATACCAATTGCTTTAGCAGACACTTGGGGGCCTAACAGCAGGGTTTTTTCTGAACCTATAATTCTCCAACAGGAGATTCCTTGTCCCAAGTTATTTTTGGATGTAGTTCAGAGGCAATGGGCACAGCCAGGATCCTTCCCCACTCTGGAGGGTAATGATAATTTTTTTCCCAATATAGCTTCTCTTCTCTTTGAGTCACTTCAACTTCCCCCTCTGGACAAACCTTTGGCGTTCTTGGTCTCTCCCTCTGCAATATCAGGTGACATAGCAAAGGCCCTTAAGACAGAGGACAAAAAAGTGGAACAAAATTTCCACAAGACACACCAGGCTAACACCTGGGCAGTTAAAGCAGCTGCAGCCACCTTCTTCTTCACTAGGACATCCTTCCTCTGGCTGTTACAGGCTAGGAATCCCCCTGAGGAAATCAGAATGCATCAGGACATCAACAAACTAGTGGTGGCCGCTGAATTTGTGGCTGACTCCTCCCTGCATGCAGCCCAATTCTTCTCTAGGACTCTGGCCTCCAACATCACTTCTTGTCATCTGTGGCTACGACAGTGGCAAGCAGATGCTAGAACCAAATGGAAAGTGGCCTTGAATTCCTTTGTAACTGAGAATGAGAATAAAAGAAAGGTGTTCTCCTCACTTACCAGGAGGGCTGACAGGAGGGCTTCTCCTTACTCCCGTAGACAGCCATTTCGTTCCTCAGACTCAGGCCAGGAATTTCCTCAATTCCAAAGATCTTACCAACCCAGATCTGATAGACCCACAAATAGATCGGGATTTAGAGACAAACAAACAACAGTTTCAATCTAAATGGCCCTTTCATGGCACAGGAGGTCATCCCTACCATTGATCCAAATGACTGCCAGACCCTTCCTCCCATCGGTAGCTGACTGGCCATATTTGCAGAACGATGGGAGACCATCACTTCTGATTCCTGGGTCCTGAAAACAGTGTGATTCGGTCTCACCCTAGATTTTCTGTCCATTCCTCCGAGGACCTTTACCCGTTGCCCAACAAGAACCACATAAGGAAAAGGCTCATGGACATAGTGGTCCAGCATTTGCTGGACATCCAGGCCATCGAGCTGGTATTGGAGGACCAGAGGAGGCATGGGTTTTACTCCATTCTATTTGCAGTTCCCAAGACGTTGGGATGTGTGCGTGTGGAGAGCGATCCTGGATCTCAAAAAGCTCAGTGCTTATTTAGAAGACAAGAGATTCAAAATGAAGTCTCTGCAATCTTGGAAGGTATCCGGGAGAGGGCGATCTCCTAACGTCCATCGATTTGATGGAGGCTTACCTCCACATTACCTTCCATCCCTCTGAGGTTTCTCAGGTTCTATTATGCAGGGGGCCAATTATCAATACAAGGCCCTCCCATTTGGACTGCCATCGGCATCCAGGACTTTTACAAAAGTGCTGGCAGCACTGGCCGCGCACCTCAGAACAATCCCGGTGCGAGTCCAGTACTATCTTATCCAGTCCAGTTCCAGCCAACAAGCCAAATCAGACTTGACTTACACAATCCAGGTCCTAAAGGATCACGAATTTTCAATCAATTTCCAAAAAGCCAGCTAACACTCTCTACTCGCCTCCTTCATCTCAGTGTGGTGATATACAGAAATCTATGAGAGGTATATTTGTCCCAGGAACGTCAGGACATCATCAGGCTCTTGTTCACCCAGGTCACAGCGGAGCGAGCAGCTCCCCTGACATTGCTTTCTCAGCTTCTGGGAAAATTAATCTCATACATAGCTGATTAATCTCAGCCATAGTTCCATGGGCCCGACTGCACTGCACGCCAGTCCTCTCCAATTGTTCCTCCTACCATTTCAGAGAGCAGGCACCAGCACCTCCAACGTCAGGGTCTGACTCTGGTCGGATGTCTTCAGTTCCCTCAGGTGGTGGGTATCCCCAGTGATCACCAAGGGGTCCCTATTCACATCATAGTCACTTCAGATGTGAGTCTGTTGGGATGGCGGGCCCATCTATAGTCCCAGCTTGCGCAGGGTCAATGGTCCACAGCAGACTTTCAACACAACATAAAGAATTGGTTAGAACTGAGAGCCATTCACTTAGCTCTCAAACACTTCCAAAGCACAGTGACCGGCCAACACATGCTAATCCTAATGGACAACGTGGTGGCCAAAGCACACGTTAATCGCCAGGGAGGGACCCACTCCAGATCCCTCATGTCCAAAACACAGCAACTGGGAATCTGAGTGGAGGCTCACCTATTGTCACTCAAGGCAGAGCACATATCGGGGATTGCAAATGTCCAGGCAGATTACCTAAGTAGGACCAGGGT